AAAGGAAGCCATGGATGATGTTGCTCAATCCATGGAGTCCTCATCATAGCCAATGAATGGATCCAAAACAGGCCTCTAAGAGGAGAGAAAGTATAAACTTACTAATATGACTAAAATCAGTGAAAAATGCCATATCCAAACACTATTCACTACAGATACAGATGAGCACAGAGATCATGGGTTTTTTAAGGTTCCTCGGTGAAGTACAAACACTAGTCAGGAACACAATGCCAATCCATCTTTTCCTCATGTTTCTCACTTGGACATACTCAAAGGAAGTGTATGACTATTTGGGTATGTTCTAAAGCCACCATAATCTGTTCACATTACCTTCTATGCCATAAATGGTCAATGCATCCTACTCTTTTTAGTATTTAAAATCGGCCCAAGGGGCTTTGAAGATGGAGGCATCCATGTAAAGGAGGTCATGGTCTTCACTCTAGTCATCCAATCCCACATCCAAACCAAGTGACATACATGGTAAATAACAATCACAGAATTCAAAACCAGGAAATGCTGTGTGTCGTAAGGGCTATAAAAATAATGGTGGGCTGAGAATGCCATTATAATATTTCCCAAATGATAATAATGCAAACACATTAATCAGTTACAGGACAGATATCAGAAATTAATATGATTCAATGGAAGATATCAATCATGTATATCTCTTACGTGTTCTTAGAATGTAACCCACCCACTTGTCAGAAAAACCTTCTAACACTAAGTCCACTGGCTTTCCTATTAGAGGAAATCATGGCCTTCCAGATTAGTGCACAACACAGCCATTTTCAGACTGAGAAATGTCAAGAATTTTTTTTTTTAAAGAGTAGTGCTCATAGTTTGCTGCAGTTCAGGAGTGTCTGATTTATCACACTTTGCAGGAAGGTTCCTAGGCACGCCTCCCCTTCCTGGCTCTTTTTGGCAAATGTCAGATAAAAAGTTTCCCCGTTACCTTGATTGGCTTCGAGCTTCTCCTGTGCTTTCTCCTACGGATGAGTTTTTCTCGGTCCTAGAAAACAGATAAGAACTTTTCAGATCGAAAGTTGTGGTACATCTCCCAATAGCTTTATTGCCACTTTCTTCTGCCTACAAAGGCTGGAAGAGAGCACTGGGTCCAAGAGAGTCTCTAGCAGTGTGTTCTGAGGACAGAACTCACCTTCTGAGTTACCTGTGCAGGGACCCTTGTTTTGTTTTTCAGAGACAGTTGTTTTCCCCTGAAAGGATTATATATTTTTATCTGGGGTGGGATTTTACTTTATAAATTTGGTAATGTTTGGATATGATGTGCTAATATTTCCATAGTATGTATATTATAAATTTCCTGCCACTTAATCAGGAGGTGTCCTGTATTCCTTCATTTTATACCTGAAAACAGGGTCACACAAAGAGTAGTTGTTATCCTTTCCAATGCCCACAATTTTCATTTGTGGTGAGAAAATATTATTTCTAATTAGAACACACATTTATTTTTCATATTTTGTCATTTCTTAGCATAGGCAGGTGTCCCTTGACTATTTTTGGATCCTTGTTTTGACTCTGCATCTGGTGAGGATGGAACAGGAAGCAGAACAGCTACTCTATTGGAGTCACCTAGTTTTGTTTCTGTTTTATTTGGGGAGAGATGACTGTGATTTTCTGAGAAACTTGGTGAATACCTACACTCTGTGATCATCTTCATGACTTTATGCTGTGAGCATAGAAACTGGGACAACTTGCATCTATGCATTAAGTACTCTGTGGTTTAAACATATTTGAGCTCCATGGAACTCCCTGACCAATGGGAAACCTACAGCTAAATTTGAGGGTGTTCAAAGACAGGTATATCCCTAGATCAATGACTACATGAGATTTAGGTATTATCAAGGCAGGAGTGAGTAATCAACTATATTTGAATATGATTCAAATCATTAGCCTTTAGACTATTTTGCCTTTATATATAAAATATTTTGATCTTGCATCCTCAATATAACTGTGAAATTTTAAACATTTACACATTGTACACTTAGATTACTCTCAATGTAGGAGGTGCACAGTATAACATATAAGAACAGTGGACAATTTTATTTTCAAGACACGGTTTCTCTGTGGAAGAGTCCTGGCTGTCCTGCAACTTGCTTTGTAGACTAGGTTGGCCTCAAACTCACAGAGATCCTTCTGCCTCTGCCTCCTGAGTGCTGGGATTAAAGGCATGTGGCACTGACACACAGCAACAATGGACAATTTTTAAAAGGTGAGTAGTAATTAATTACAGACAGAAATAGACTCCTTTACTCTCAATGGCAGTGAACCAAAGTTCACCCATTCTGGATACTATTGTGTAACAGCCCACCTGTCCTCATAATTAGTGCAAGTCTTCAGACTTTGGCTTATTCTTGAAATAAGAAGAAATAAAGATGCCATTCACAGAATAAAGACAGAGAGATGAAGAAGGAAGTCTGAAGGCCTTAAGAGGTCTTATTCCACCATATCGATAACAGAAACCTAAACTGGATGCAAAGGGTGTGGCTGTAATCACCCAGTCAACAGGTACTTAAGTATCTATCAATCAAGTGTAGACTGGATTTCTTGCTCTATTACAGAATTATGACACTATTCTTTACCTGTAAAACCTATCTATGTGCTATGCAGATTAGGTATTAGAAACATGGTTTATATGGTCCTGTTTTTGTAGCCAAAAAGTTGAATTGGGGAGCCTGGAAAGCCTGACAGTGGAAAACAACTACAAGGCATGCAGACCTACCCTGTATACTTACATAACAATGCATCTGAAAAGTCCTTAATGTGGCTCATTTTTATGTGTCCAGACTAGTTGGCAAATGGTTATAATTGAAAGGTGTAAATCAGTTTAATGATACTAACATTTGTGGATAGAGTTTCTTGTACATAATTACATGCTGGGCACATGAATATTGGATTCCAGAGTCAATCCAAAATTATTAAATGCTTCCTTACATAGTGGTTGTTGGTTAGACATCCTTGAGAATGGCTAGGGGTTTGCAGATGGGTTCACCTATGATTGTGAGCTCATCAATGATGTTCTGCTGCTCAATGACCTGCAGTTTCAGAAATTCTGTCTCTTGTTCTTCGTTAGCTTGGTCAAGGTCATTCAGAGACTTCAGTTTCTTTAAGGGTGGGTGAGATGTTATTTTTTCTCTCTAAATTGGAGAAGAAAAAGAAATTACAAGTGGAAAGCTTAAAAATCCCCAATTTTAATCACTGGTAAATTTGTAAAAATTGAGCCTCAACTAATTAGAATATTGTCTCCATTCAGTGACACACACACACACACACACACACACACACACACACACCAACTAAAAACCTCAGGTACATCTTATCTGATCTAACACATTGAAGTCCGTGACAGCATTTTTGGATATTTCTATAGTTATCTTATCTCAGCAGTCTTTCCAGGAATATACAATCATGTCAGTCATCCATGATGCTGATTTTCCAACTGTCAAGCAATTTAGAAGGCAGGCATGAGCTCACTCCATGTTTCTGTGGATTGAAGAACCACACTAAGGCTTTGCTTCTCCATTTGCAAGTATTTGAAGAGTGAGTACATCCCTGGAAGAACTCCTCCAGTTCTGCAAGGTTAAAAACCCTATATGATTCAGAGGCAAGCCCTTCTCTTGCTTTCTTCTTCAAGTTTCCTTGCTTAGATGGGAAGTCTAAGCAGAATATAAGAAATAACCTCAAGGAAAACCAGTAGGTCACAGGGCTCCAAAGGAGGAAGCAGTAGCTTCTGCAGAGTCTTTCATACACACCATTTCTGAGTTTTCCTTGGTTACAGCTTTTAGTTTCTCCTCCATGCGCTGCAAAGACACCATCAGTTCATCGTTTCTCTTGGCGAGGCACTTGTTCCTTTCCAGGAGAGGTTTGCATTGTTTTTCAGTTTCCCGCACACGTTTTAACTGGAAATAAACACAGTGAGATTTATTTTTGGTATCCTGAGGGAAGTAGGCAGGAGGGGTCAAATGTAAAAGAGGGAAAGCGCGCCTGCAGTCATTCCACGTATCCCAGGATTGACCAGTACATTCCTGTCCTCCATTTAAGCAATCAATCTATTTTTAGTTTCATTTAGTGGTTATTTGCTTTTTCTCCCTCCTTCCTTCCTCCCTTCTTTTTAATAGGATTTTGTTTCGGAGTGCTAGTAGACTCAGAACTTACTATGTAAGCTAACAAGCATGGGACAGACACAAAATCATCTTGTTTCTACCTTTCCCAGTGCTGTGATTAAAGGCCATGAGCCATGATGCCTGGCTCTAGTGCCTTCCGGTACAATCTTCACATCCTCTCCTGTCCATTATCTTAACAGAGATGCTGCTGCTGCTGGAAGTGGCCAGAAGAAACCAAAGTTCTCTTTGCTCCCTTTTTCTTCCCTCGCCTCACTCACCCATGCATGGACGCATCCACTTCTGGACCAGGAGGAACCTCTCATTGGCTCAGAATGATATAGAAGTACATTGAACCTCACGGTCACAGAACCTGTCTCCAAGCCTCATGCTTTCCCACTGCATCACCTCCTTAAAAGGTCTTGCTGAAATCTCCTTCCTCTCAGTAAGGCAGTTTATATTTTTCTGTTGTTGTCATTGGGGCCTGTTCTATATTTCACAGCGCACTGAACAGCATCCCTACGCTCGGCCTGTTGATGACAGTAACACCTGCCAGCTGTCATGACTATGCATGTTGCCTACATTGCCTTTAGTTTAGAAGCTAAATGTATGAATGTTGTCTTGTAACCATCAGCATCCCTTCCTTTCATTTTCAAAACAATTCTGTTTAGTTGATGGATTATAGGCCAATCTATATAGACACATTGGATTTCCATTCTAATGATTAGTTTATTCTTTTCCTGTCACAAGGAAAAGGGATCTCAGAAATTTCAAAAACCATCACTCCTCTTATGGAAATCTATTATTTGGGGAGATCAAGGAGAAAATGACTTGTGATTGAAAAGAAAAAGACTCCATTTGTGGTTCTTAGCACTACCCCAGTCCTATCCTAATGTCAGTTTGAAAACTACAGTGTTAGGGCAATGACAAAAACATAGAATTTTCTTTTCAGAAATAATCTGGCACAGTACCTTTAGAGTTTTGGTGTCTGAATTGACAATTCAAAATTTTGAGTATGTGTAAAGACAAATTATTCACTGAGTTTATTATTGCAATATTGATCTCTTCTGGAGGTTAATGTCCTGTGTTTTAAATATTTAGGTCTATTTGGTGCATAGTATTCATAGAAAATGCAAACAAGCAAGAAGAGAAAAAACTGCCCAATTTTAGCACAGCATTTAGTCAGAGATTGGAAGTACCCAACAGAATGTGTCTTCAGAAAGACTGGCCGTATTATGGGGAAAAGACTGAAATTATACATATATACTCAACCATGCATATGCATGCATATATATTAATAAACAGATTTGTGTAAACTCTAAGAAGCACTGCTATAGTTTAACTAATAACAGATAGATGTGAGATTAAGGAAAGAAAGCATTTTCTAATCACAAAGTGGCTGATATACCAAAACCATCAGCAAATATTAATTTATACCTATCAAGTGACATAACTTCAAATACGTATAAAAATGGGCAGAACTAAGAAGAGACATGGGCAATTTTGTTGGGAGAAAAAGTAGACAAAATTATTAGAAGTATACACAAAATTTAAAACAAGGCAACAAACTTGACTAAAACTCTAACAAAGATTATAGAGCACAAGTTTCTTTCCTGAGAATATGAGATATTTCTAAAAGTGACTGTACTCTGGTTGGATTTGTGCCAACTCAACACAAACTAGGGTCACCTGAGAAGAGGGAACCTCAATTAAGGAAATATCCCATGGGTATTGGTCTATGAGACATTTTCCTGATTAATGATCCATGTGGGAGGACCCAGCCCATGAGCAGTACCGTCCTGATCAATGGTCCTAGGTTGTATAAGAGAGCAAACTGAGCAAGGTGGGCTCCGCAAGCAGGTTTGCAACATTCTTCCACAGTTCTAGTTTGAGTTCCTACCTTCCCTTCCCTCCCCTTCCCTTCCTGTATATGAACATGCAAGCCAAATAAACCCTTTCCTCCTCAAACTGCTTTTGGTCATGTTGTTTTATAGCAGTAGAAAGCAAAAGAAGACACTGACCCTATGCAATGACCATAAATAAAAGTGTAATAACCCCAAGGGAACAAAATGTTGCTAAGTGTGGTGAGTGTTAAGGAGTAACTAGTAACAGAAGATAATCTAAAAATCTCTAGATGTCTGGAAATTGAGCCACACACTTTCTGGAAGAAGTTGTATGACATTATTTTTAAAAAGCTAGCGGTCAATGTCAAATGATTTCCTCTGATTTACATATCATCATTATTATCATCATCATCATTGTAGGCAGAGTTTCTCTGGGTCTCAGCAGCTGCTCTCAAATAACCACACAGAGGCTTAATATTAATTTTAAATGCTCAGCCTATAGTTAGACTTGTTTTTATTCTAGATCTTATAACTTAACTGAACTGATTTCTATTCAACTAAAAAAATAAAATAGAATGAAGCAGCAATATATTATAACACTTAAAACTTGTGAGAGGTGACTTAAAGTAAGACCTAGAGAGAATGACCCAAAATTAAGGGAAAGGCTAATGTCACCTTTACATAAACAACACCATCAAAATACAAGTCACAGAGCAGTATATCTAAATGTCTAATTTTGAAATGTTCAAATGTTAATAAGAAAATGAAGGAGAATAGAGAAAGAACAAAATGCTGAGGACAGATACTAAAGAAAGCCCAGCAGCCCAGCAGCCCAGCTCCCCCAATCTCATTAGAAAAGATAAAAATCAAACAAAAGTCAGAATAAAAATACACCACACGACCACTGAAATGGCTGAAGTGAATGGTTATCTTTGCATGTTGGCAAAGACATGGAAACACTGAGACCCTTGCACATTGGCAGAGAACATAGTGTTAGAACAACTTCAGGAGCGAGCTGACCTCATTGCAGAATCCAAATTCCTATGCCCAAAGGCAAAAGGCACTTTTCTTCATCACAGATACCTAGCTGCCCCAGTCTTAACAGCCTTAAATGTGCTTAGAAGCTCAATAAATACCCCTTAAGTATAGCTGCATGTATTGCAATGTATTAACTAGATGCTATAGAGTTACTAAAGAGAACCATTTCACAAACAGCTCAAGGGAGACTCTCATAGGCAACACTGACTGAGCTAAAGCAGCCAGACACACAGGCACAGTATGCAATTACATTTTTAAGTTAATTATGACAGATACCTACATAGAAATCAGAGTGGTGCCATTATTAGGTGGGTGTTGGATTGGAGGGAGGGAGGGGTCTTGGTCATTTTCCACTTACTCACTTGGAAGGTACTTCTGTGGGGCAGCCACTTTGTGAGGATTTACCATGATGTACTGTTACTGCTTGCTCATTTTTCTCTCATGATAAACTACACAACAGAATGCATACTTTTATAGCTTAGCATCTAATTCAACACAATAGAAACAGTGTGTGTACAACTTACCAATTCATTTCGCTCATCTCCAAGCAAGGTGTTCCTATCTTCTAACTTTCTTATAGTGGCATTCAATTCAGCTATTCTCTTTTGATTTCTTCGCAAATCCTACACATGAGAAGCAAAACAAGCATCTCTTCAGTAATATTTTATGAAGTCTGGAAAACCATTCATGAATGTAATAGGCTCCTTTCTTCCATTTTGGTCCATGAAATGACAGATAAATGTTCTTTACTAAGAGAAAACTAGTTACCCTCCCTAATTCCCAACATTTACTGCTAGGTTAAGCCTGGTTAAAACTACAAATGAATTCCACGTGGCAAGCAGACCCTGGAGCCCAGAATTGTGGCATGGAGCATGCAGAAGGTTGAGACAGTTCAGCAGAGCTGTTTGCCCTAGGACCAAAATAAGGTGTGAAGTTCGGAGACCATCCTTGTGTTGCAAATGTCCATAGCTTCCCACAACACAGACAACTGTCTGCTATCATACTTAGCCATAGAGTGGACCAATTAGGAAGTAGGCATGGGGTTTGGGGAATTTTTCTGTACTCCTGAAGAAAAAGATCACTGTGGGGAAACATATATTACCTTCATGTATAAAAGGCAGGGTTTACAATATAATCAAGAATAAAATATTTGTACAATATAACAATTGTATGAATCACCTTATTCACAGCAGTTATAGCTTAATTCTGTGCTGTATGCCTACTCTAATTACATGCTTGTGATTCTATTACTGTTTTTTATTTTGATTGTGGTTCACTATTGATGGAGCATCCCTGGAGTCATCATATCCTAGAGGATTCAGCACAACAGGCTAATCTGAGGGTGGTTCTAAATTAGCCTGGGTCTTGTGGTGGATACCAGTAATCAGAGCTATGGAAGTTAACTATGTACCATATACACTGTATTCCCTATATCACATCTTCTAATGCATAGACCAGCCCTGCAGAAATCATCATGACCTTCATCCTACAGATAAGGATAATGAACAGGGAAGTGGTTTGTATAAGGCCACTCAGATAATGAATCTGAACCAAGGGGTCTAACTTTAAAGTCCATTTTTTGGGGTAATCATGCTATATTTCATATAGGTATTAACAAAAGAACTAAAATTTCCATGTGTTGCATCTTAGATCGGTATATATTTCCCACCTCCTACTAGTGTGTGTGTGTGTGTGTGTGTGTGAGAGAGAGAGAGAGAGAGAGAGAGAGAGAGGGAGAGAGAGAGAGGGAGAGAGAGAGAGTCCTGAAAAGCAATTCATGAATTATTCAATTCTTTGTTCAAAGTAATACTTTGGAACTTATTTTTTGTTCCTAAATGATATATTTTCAGCCTTTTTTGCAGATAAATCATCTGATAGCCTATTACATTCATGCTTATGTCTTTCATTATACTTTGGAAAATAATTTCTCATATAAGATGATGCTAATCTAGTGAATAAGTGGCAAGTTCACTCAGACTGGAAGTGTTTGTGATATGGCTATGGACAGGACAGTCTTTCTTATAGGCACACACCCCACCTCTGTAGATGATAACTTTCTTTGTCAATTTCTAATCCAATTGTTCACACAGAAAAATTACCAATCTTGGCAACAGGCAAATATTTTCTTTTAACTTATGGTTCTTATGATAGATTCAAGTTTTTTTGTTATTTTTAATTCATTTTATTTTGGTTTGGCTTGGTTTTTGGTTTTTCAAGATAGGGTCTCTCTGTGTATCCCTGGCTGTCCTGGAACTCTCTCTATAGACCAGGCTAGCTTTGAACTCACAGAAATCCACCTACCTCTGCCTCCTGAATGCTGGTATTAAAGGCAGTGGTGGCACACGCCTTCCCACTACATTGTCTGTGAGTCTAGGAAAGCCTTTTCCCATGATACTTGTGGGTTTTACAGTAGGCAGGAGAATTGATTTATTTGTACTTATCAATAGGAAAATAGCTTAAGTGAAAAAGCAGAACTTGAGAGCTAAATAAAAGATGACTCTGGAGTTGTTCAACCTCAACCCAAATGGACTCACCGGGCTGCTGCAGTGTTCGGAGCCATCTCCCGCCCTTCCCGGAATCTCTCTCTTCGGACTGCTCATGTTACACTCTGCCTCCTTGACCAGGAAGAGCTGCTCATCCAAAGCTTCCTTCTGCAGTTGGAGTTTCTGTACATAGCCTGTCTGAGTCTCCAGTTCCTTTTCCAGGGAAAAGATGATCCTGTCCTTGGCTTTGATTTCGTCCATCTGAATTAAATGAGACCCAGGATACTTCATTTAACTATGTTATAAGTAAATCCCATTTTCACTATGGGAAGCCCTTCTTCTAGCCACCTCTTCTAGTTATGATTCAGAAAAAAGCATCCTAAGGAATCTGGCATGTGTACTGAAACTCACAAATAACATGAAGCAAACACTGAATAATAAAAGACTGTTTCGTTTTCTCTCTCTAATCCTCTGGTATATCCTGTATGGGTGTTGACTTCCTTGTAGTGTTTGAAATGGTCTGGGTTGGCTAGGAAAGGCACAGTTTAAAATGGATCATTTGCTTTTATAAAGTTAAATGCAGAATATTCTACTATGATGTTTCTCAGGACACAAACAAAAAAATCACTGTCTTCTTCAGGGAACAAGCATTTGATCTTGATCCTAGCACTGATGGATACTATCAGCCAGTTATTTGAAACTGGAGGAACTGCAGGTTTCCTAGTACTGGTCTACTGATTTTTTAGGAATGTCAATTCTGGTGGTGTCTGGAGGAGGTTCTTGTAGCCATTGCGGTCGTGTGGCCTTCCCTGCCTTCCCATACTTCCAGGCAGACAGCCTTAGCAATTGTTCTATCATTACTGTCAGAGAAGCATCATTGGGACTAGAATAGAGATTTAAAATGCCTGTTAATTTCAGTCAAAATATTTACTTGTGGCATACAGCTATTGATTTTAGCACTCATTTGTGCTAAACTTGGATGTGGCCTCAAATATATGAATTTTCAACTTTAGGCAGAGGAATCAGGTACCAATGGATTAGAGTACTACTGGACTGGACGCAGTTTGCTGTCCGTAGATGAGGAACATACAATAAATGAAATGAATGTCTGTTGTGGAATATTAGTTTAAGATGTGTTACATTTGCTTATGCTGTGGAATATTTGTTTAATGAAGCAAAGATGTGTTGCATTTTTTAAATTTTGCATTTGTTTAAGTCTGTGAAGCTGTGTTACTTTGCCTGCCTAAAACACAACTGGTCTAATAAACAGCTTAATGACCAATATTAGGCAGGAGTGGAATAGGTGGGGCTGGCAGGCAGAAAGAATAAATAGAAGGAGAAAAAGAACAGATGGAAGAGGAGGAGAGAGAGAAAGAGAAGGAGAGGAAGATACCAGGGCCAGCTACCCAGCCACACAACCAGCTACTGAGTAAGAAGGAAAAAAAATCACTTCTCGGCCTTTTGGCTGAGATCAAGTGTAGTAAGAAGAAAAGAAAGATATATAAATAAAGAAGAGTAAAAAGCCCAGAGGCAATGAGAAATGGCATATCTTAAGTTAGAAAAGTGTCTAGAAAGAAGCAAAGCTAAGGCTGGGTATCTACAAGTAAGAATAAGTTTCTGGGAGCTGGGTAGCAGGTCTCCAAAGAGTTAAAAAGAAGACTAAAAATGTAAGAAATTTGAAGAGATTATAGACACTGGTAGACACTGGGTGGAACCTTTTGTCTCATTTTACTATATTCTATGTAAATACTTAAAACAGAAATAAGAAAAGACATTTAGCACAAATGTCATTCTTTCTCCTTTCTCACATTTCATAATTCATGTTGGGAGTTTCTTTACTGTGCCTTTTAGATGAGGAGGAGAGCAGAAAATCATCTGCTTGCACAGTTCCTCATTTTCCACACACTATTGCCTGGCTGTTGACTTTAGGTGACAAAGCTAAATTTTAGGTCAACATTGTGGGACCCTTGGACTGAAGTCTGCATTGTCCTGCAACATCACCTGATAACTGCTGAGTATTGAAATAGTGTCCTGTAGATTTGGGATAGAATTGCAGCTGCATTTTCTTACTCTTCGAAGATGGCTGAGTCATGTTAAGCTGAGTGCTCATTGGTCAGAGTTGTTACACACAGTGTTCGCTGCAGTTTAATACAGTTAATAAACTGCATGTTCTTGGTTGCTTGTGATGCCCTCCAGTGAATGGCAGATGCTAGGCTGTCAGCTCATTAAACCCTCATGGAGTCATCTCTAGTATTATAAATTATAAAGCATAAATACCATCTTTAGTATTATAAATGAAATCTCATCCTCTATGGTATTGGAAGCGCTATAGTTATGAAAGTTATCTCACTTTCTAATAGTGTCACTTTCTAATAGTTCAGTAGGTTCGATGGATGACCATGTGCCAGATGAGAACCTGAAAGGTTAAATATTTGGTCATTGTCCCCTGCCTTGTGAGTGATGAAATATTGATACTTTCACTTCCTCTTTCAGAGCCCATTTATCATGTACTGTGCTATACTAGCTCCAAGATTATTCACACGCCATCAAGAATTTTCCAAAGTGGGTCACTGTAGAATATCTAGCAATAGAGGGGGCTCTGTTATACAGTGGTTGTGAACATGCAATCTGGTTCTCAGAATGTTGCATAATTAACCAGTGCTCCAGTTTGTAGATGAGAAAGAATATATTGCAGAATCCTTTGGTGATATTTTCTAGAAAGAACAGAACTCATTTCTTTCCCTCCAGGTCCAAGAGTGCATATGAGAATGAGGGTAGGTATAGGAAAGGGAAACGAGAAAGTGAAGACAGGGATACAAACATTAAAGAAACATTCCCCCATCTTAGTCTGTTTGCTTCCAATGTTGGAGCCACTCTGGGTGGTTTAGATCTCAGGTGGTTATTTAGGAGAATGTTGTGTCTACTTCAGCAGGGTTCTTTGAAAGATGTAATAGGAAAATTATGACTAAATTGTAGATTTCACACCAAAAGGCAAGCAACAATTTTTAATTCAAGGCTTTCTTTAAACTCACCTACATGATGGCTCCACAGTTCACAGTCTTGAATCCTTCATCAACCACGGTCATTCCAGAAGCCAAGAGCAGGGCAGAGACCACCATTTCTGCACTGCCTTTGGCCTCCATTGTCAAACAGTGCAGCAGAATGAACTGCAGTAAATCCCTCAGGAAGCATGGCAACATTTACAGTCACATCATACAACATTACTAAGAAAAATGACATGGCTTAACTTGTAAAATGTTCTATGGAAGCCGCTTTTAGCTTAAAGTGGAAATCCTGGATATATCACGCAAAGCACAACAGTGGAATTCCTAGGAACTGGTTCCTGAGGATTGGCAGACACAAGAGGGAAAGGATGGTTTTCCCTGAACAGTATTCTACTAAGAACAGTGGTTCCCAACCAATGGGTTGTGACCCCTTTGGGAGGAGGGTGTTGAATGGCCCTTTCATGGGGTCAAATATCAGATATATATCAGATATCCTGCATATTAGATATTTACATTACAAGTCATCACACCAGCAAAATTACAGTTATGTAATATCAATGAAATAATTTTATGGTTGAGGGTCATCACAACATGAGGAACTCTATTTAAAAGGTCTAAGCATTGGGATGGTTGAGAATCACTGGCTTAGAGAAACATAGTATTAAATCCATTCTAAATGGTTTAAGCTAATCCTCAACTTTTGTACATAGATGAATATCAATTTCCCTTCTAAGATCACAGGATGAGGTTAACCTAGGACATTATAGGACAGCACTAGATTAATGCATTAGACTAATTTATTAATGCATTGACTAATTTATTTTTAGCATTACGAGGCATCGGTATATGGTTTTTGGCTTTGCAAGCAAAACAAAACAAAACAAACAAACCAATTCTGTGTGGGTTGAAGTAAAGTATATTGCAAACAGAAAGGAAACTCTTTGTGAATGACACCCAATTAAAAAATAGAATGGCTCATAACAAATATTCCTTGATTATTTGTGGGAAAGGAACTCGGTTTCAAAATGACCAGGGATTTTATAGCTCCACGTTTGCACTGATGAATCACTCAGCATGTTTTCAATAGTGACCATTTTCAGACAAATTGTAGAAACATCCCTTTGTCCTGTAAAATACCCAGGGGCACTTTACAACTGGGAAACCCACAAAAACAAGCTAAGGTTGGAATTGTTTGTAATTTACAATCTTTTCATGGACTACCCAAGAACACATGTCGCTGAGTGAATACCTGTGAAAATGAGGACTGTAAAATCTCTTACATTTTATAATTCCAATTTCTACCAAAGTACCTATCAGTCTACCTTGTGTTTTGAATAGTGTAGCGGCAAAGCCAGGGTGTATGTTTATAGTAACTGACAGTTGAACACTCAGCAAAGCAAATCACACAGAGCTCTGGCAGAGAAAGGTTTCTGCCGGGCTCTCATTATTATTACTGACCAGCCTCCTAATGTCCCGTTCTGACTCCCACTTGATCTTCGAGATGGCTTCCTGGTGGGATTGATGCTCACTCCTAAGGTCACCAGCCTTGATTTTGTCCGCTTGGATCATATTGCTCAGAGCCTCATCCACCTGCTTCTTGGCAGTTTTCAGGTCTGTAATTTCCTGCAAGAGCTTCAGACGCTCTGCATCGAACTGTTTCCGGGCCTCCTCCCTGGCCTCAATGGTGAGAGCTGTCCTTACTATGTCACTGCTGCCATCCCGGAGGGCGCACAGGGCAGACTTGAGTCTCTGGATCTCCCCATCCCGTACCTTCACTGTCCTTGACATTTCCTGCTCATGCTGCTTGATGAGATTCTCCCTCACCGCCTGCAGCTCCTTCATCTTCTCCTCATGGAGCTTGGCTTTGAGCTCTGTCACCAGGACCGTGTGCTTGCGCTGCTCCAACTCACGAATCCTCTTTGCTTCTTGCGTCTTCTCTCTTTCAAGCTTTGATACCTAGAGGCAGAGAGGTGAAAGGAAGAAAAAGCGTGAGCCTCAAAGAGAACTCGTGCTCCCAGGCAGGATCTTGCAGCTTAGGCCGCTGTGATCTCTTAATATCTTATTTATTAAAAAAAAGTCCAAGCTACTGTGTGCTCAGAGGGAAAGGAAGCACAGACCTTAAAGCAGAGACTAGGGTGTATAAAAAAGGAAACAACTAAGATATTTATCTTAGTGTGTTCAGACAAATACTTGATGTCCTGGGCCTTCTTAATCAGCACGTGGTCCATAGATTAGCAGTTCCAGAGACACTCAGAAGTCTGTTAGAATTGCAGAATCCCAGGTTCCCCACCAAATCCATAAATCAGAATGAATATGCCTTTTAACAACTCCCCAGGTGACTGGTTTACCCAGTCAAACTGGGAGGCTTTGCTGGGGTAGTTCTCCCATTGGTGGAAAAGAGTCTACAACTACTGACTGTATAATTCTGGCTCCACCCAACCCATAGATGTGAGCATCTCTGGATAGCTCAAAGTTTGATACTGCAATAAGGCAAACAAATAGGTGCCTAAAATGTTACTATATAATACCTCTCTTTCTCTTACAGAAGGGGAGAACAGATTGCTGATAATGGAGAAGGTAAAAAATAAAGATAATTATAATAGCAATGACTTTATCTTTCTTTGTATAGTAACCATGTTCCATTCCCCGACTTGTGTATATCCACATATGTGCACATTAGGTAGCCAATTAGCTACAGCCCCAGAGCCTATAGTCTGTTGGGTTCTGTTGTAATTACAGGGCTTCAGGAATGCTATTTCTGCGTGCTGCCGCAGGTCTCTTTGTATTATTCTCTAGTCTCACTCTTATCCCTTGACCTTGATGCCACCCAAGCCAAATACTCCAAGTGATGTACGCATTTCTTCTAATCTTTCCACCTTTCAAGAATTCTGCTGAAAATAATCTCCTGAGTTTTGTTACATTTCCACTGACAACGTTAGTTCTTCCTGCCAATTTGTGCTACTTAAATCTCTGATTGAACAGGTCCCTATGATGTGGTTTGGCCACTTCAGTAGCATAAAAATTCCCTCTGGGGTCCTGTGCTATTCTCTCATCCACTCAGTTCATTCCATCACCTGTCTACATCTTCTCCCTGTTTCTTTTCTTTAGTGGACACACACACACACACACACACACACACACACACACACACACACAGAGAGAGAGAGAGAGAGAGGGAGAGAGAGAGAGAGAGAGAGAGAGAGGGGAGGGAGAGAGAGAGAGTTTGAGAAAGTGAAAAAAAATGGGAGCCCCAGCAGCATTACCTAGTTGAGTGACAGAGAGCTCTGCCTCTCCCCGTACAATAGATTCTGATTGTGGTTTCCCCTCTCTCAAAATTTGAGAGAGTTTCAACCTACAAATGTCTGATGAGTCAAAGTCCCTTTTAGGATCATTGTAATTACAATATAGAGTGTTTAGGATTTCACTTACCTCAGTCACTTACTTACCTATCTTCAGCTAGTGCAGTATTTTCTAAGTGAAGTAATGTTTTGAGGCCATATGATTTTTAAAAGCACAGCAATTAATCTCACAATGGTTATCCTGTAAGGGTGGAGACCCCAGGAGGACTTGGTAAAGCAGCAGTGAGGTGTCTTCAGATGACTGTCTTCTGACCTCTCCTCAGCTTACTGTCAAGAATGCTGGCCACTGGCTACACTGAACACTTGCAATGGTGCAAAATACACTCTGGATTTTGAAGATTTATCACAAGACAGAGTTTTTGTTGATCCTTTTTTAATAGCTATGTGTTGAAATGATACTATTTTGTATGAATTAAGTTAAACAGGCTCTATTAAGGAAAGTAATGGATTGCTTTCAATTTTTTACGTTTTCAGCTAGAATGAAATTAATTAAAGGTCACATATCTGGCATACATTTGTGGTCCACACTCCGTTTCTTTTGGCCAGTATTGTTCCAGAGTTCTTTGGGCTTCTTTTGGAGAGCTTGACTTCCTTCACACTAGTGATGTTTTCTTAGGAAACCCAGGCCCTGGCAGTACTACTGCAGCAGCTCCTAAGCTCCACAACTGAGGACAAAAATCCCTGTACTTCAGCCTTGCCAGTCCAGACTCTACACAGGTTGGGCTGGAAAACTTCCTGATTCCTTCCCCTTATCTGCCCCTGCTCCTGGTACAAGAGAATATGCTATTTTCTGCACATAGTATATATTTGTACCAATCTGCCTATGGTTTCTTTTCCCTGGTGGCTCTTCCCTTGAATCGCCTTGGGAGTCTCACATTCCTCCCGGCCCAGCTACTCAACATCCTTTCCTTTCATGTGACCTGATTGCCTAGTATTAAGCATGTCTACTGCCTTTGTCTTTTCTGTGAACTTCACTGGGCCTTAGTCCATTTTTCTTTATGTTACAGGTTTTGTGCCTGCCTCTCTCTCATCCCCACCTCCACTTACCCTGCCTGCAGTGGAAACTCCTAAGAGACTACCACTGTATATCCACTGATTGCTGGCACAGCACAATGAGGAGCAAGAAGGCACAGGTGCAATTAAAGGCCATATGCCGTTGTTGCCTAGCTAGCCCCCAAAGCAGAGTAATGAATAAGCAGCCCTGCCATACAGTTTAGAGAACACAGGCTTAGGGAGTTACCAGGGTAACTATGCATCCACTCACTCATCCCCTGTAAGACTCTACAGTAAAGCACAAAATCTCTAACAGATAAAAATGCCTAGTTCTGTTCTCAATGCATCTTTTGTTGTTTCTCTGAGCTTTTTGTTCCTGTTGTTTTGTTTTTGTTAGCTTTGCTGTGCTGGAACTCTATCTGAAGTCCAGGTTGGTTTCAAGCCCACAGAGATCCATGTACCTCTACTTCCCAAGTACTGTGATTACAGGCATGTGCCACCACCTTCCAACTGCCTCTCTGTTCTTGACAATCTAGAGTTTATGCCCATCTTCCCAGAGTAAACAGAAAATGATATTGTTCAGGAATGAGATG